GACTCTATCCTTCAAAATTATTGTTGCCTCCCTCTCCTGTAGTTTCACTATGTGAAAAACCAGGCTCGGTTCTTTGTCCAGGATGCCAGCATTGCCTCTGCATTGAAAGATGTCAGCTACAAGATTTGTGATGAGGAGAACCAAAAGGTATGTTTTGAGGGCATTACCTGTACCTAGTCCCCGGGGTGGGAGGAAAGGCCAGGGGCTGGTGGTCTTCTTTGGAATCAGGGTTCTTGGTGCTTACCCGAGCACCTCACCTCCCTGCAGATATCGATCTTTGTCATTGCCTCTAATGTACCCTACTCTGTGCGGTATAAGTTGAAACCAAAAGAAATGAAGCAGCTAAAGGTAATGCAGACTCAAGGCCCGTTGCATGCCCACACCCAGACCCACCTCCTCTTCCTCCAGCCCCCGATTTTCCTATCCCTACCAGAGCCTCAGAGTGGCTTTCTCTGCCTTTCTCTGCAGCTGACCATGCACAAACGCTATGATGTCTCCCATGAAGCTCTTGACCTCCAGAGTCTCCGCTTTGACCCAGGTACAGTTGATAGCAGTAATGCTAGGGCAGGTGAGGGCACAGGGATCTGCCTGGGAGGGAGACTGAGGAATGGTAACGTGGGGAGGGGTTGATGCTGGCCCTGGACCCCTCTCAGCCGTTTGCCTCCTCTTGGCTTCCTGAAGACTTGGTGGGCCATGATATTGATATAATCCTGAATCGAAGAAACTGCATGGCTGCCACCCTGCAGATCATTGAAGAGAATTTCCCTGAGGTAAGGCCTTAGTCCCAGTGCTGTTATCAATAATAGGGGTGGAACTCATGGGGTGGAGGACAGATTTGTCTCTGAGGCCCTAGATAGTAACTGTCACTCTAACTCTTCTTCACCAAAAGCTGTTGTCCTTGAACTTGAGCAACAACAAACTGTACCAGCTGGATGGCCTGTCTGACATTATACAGATGGTCCCCACAGTCAAGATCCTGAACCTCTCCAAAAATGAGGTGGGAAGAGGGAGCCAGATCAAAGTTGGGGGTGACGGTGGGTGGTAGTGCTCATCCGAGTGATGACAGTAGGCAAGAGAAGGTACCTATGTAGAAGGGTGGGGGCTGGGGGTGCAAGGGCCCGCGTGTCTCTTTCCCTGGGACTCCTTCCCAGCT